TTAGAAGTACTCAAGTAAAATTAAAAGTTTATCTATTTAAAAAGAAAAAAAAATCAGTAAACACGATCTACATTGCTTAAAGAGGAGACTACTGCATCTTTTGTAACATATAAGTAACAATGCTTCTTGTTCACTGTAACTAGAAATAGGACTGATAATTTAGCTAACAAATTTCTGAAGTCACAGAAATGCAGACAAGATATGATGTGGCAGTTTCTCTAATTGCCTTTTCCAGGGAGTACTCCAAACGGTGATACAGAATAAAGTAACAAAAATCAACTGCAATTTCAGTGGGAGAACTTCGGTGCTTGGGACCATGTAGAAATGTGCCTGCTCTTATTTCTAAAAGCACTATGGATTGAAAAATACTATCCAAGAAAGAGAAAGAAAATCAAAAGTTCACTCTAGAAACTATGTAGAAGTACTGAGGACAAGTAAGTAAAGCTGGTATCATTTTCTTAAATTGGAGGAACCAAAGAAGGGAAGAGAAAGAAGAAAGGAAATAAATAACCTGACATACTCAGGATGGCAAAATGCAATAATTATCAAGATATTAAAATAATCACATTTTAAGGTGGCACATAATGTAAGCAAGCTCACAGGAAAATACTAAATAAATGTAAATTCCTGGTTTCCTAAGCTATCGGAAGACAGAAATTATTGCCAATTTAATTGTACCAGTGAGACTGGGATGTATTCCCTGTCTTTAAAATCAAGGCACAGCCTGTCCCGTTACATTCGAACTTTAACAACTGCATAGTGATTACATGTAAAGGATGCATGAATCTATCTTTTCAAAACATACTTTGAAAAGCAGTAAGATTATTTTATCGAAAAATAATTACTGACAAAGCAAATGTGCTCCACTGCCGACCTCACTTCACTTATTCATTATGTTTGAAAAACATCAAGTAAATCTCCGCTGGACTTTGTAAGGCAGATAGTCATTAACACTGATAAAACCGCACTTGATATAGTTCTGCCTTCCAGTCTCAATTTACTAAGAGTTTATGCCCTGAATTAGTATCAAATGCAAAGTACAAAATCTGACAGAGTGAAGATTAATAGCAATGTGTTAAGTCAGAAAGAGCTGTTTGGTAAAGTACCCTGGGAATTTAGGTCAGCCTAATCCAAGATCACATCAATTACTGAAAAGTTAGGGGAAACAGAAAATCAATCAAACGTGGATTGTACCATACTGGGAAAGTCTTGAGTTAACATCACTGGAGGCATTTGGAATTAGACTAAATGAAATGCCAGCAAACATATTAATAACAATAGAGGCCTCTTTTACTAGAGGTTGACAAGGGAAGAAATATGACTTAATAGTTAAAACATTCTTAATTTCAATAAGCAGTGTTTATTTGCAATCATTTGTCTTAAATTGTTCAGCTAAACTCTCTTTTACAAAAACAAGCACTTAAAAGGACTTCTGTTTTCTTGTTTACAAGACTTCACATCAGAAGAAACGCAGATTTCTCTTAAAAAAAGTTTTAATGACCAGTGAACACACAGTAAGGAACAAGAGTACTTGTAAAAGAAATTAACTTAAATGCACAAAACATTATATTTAGCTCCTAAAAGCATCCTAATCCATAAAAGAACATCCTTATTTCACTATAATATTGTCTCTTTGAAAGCAAATGCTACAGATAGAATTTTCAGATCACAATAGATATGTCGAGGATTCATTCATAACAGCTTGAAATGTTCCGTTTTGTTCCAGCCAAGACAAGCCCAACTGGAATACATTTTGTATGGTTTTCTGTTTATTATAATAGATTTAAATGTTTTCAGTATCAATGTATCTTATTAATACATTTTTAAATATCACTTGGTAGAGCACAAGAAACAATGAGAAAAATGCAAATGGATGAGGCAGAAGCTGCATATCCAAACCCCTTTCAGGAAAGAGATGAACAGAGCCCATCAAGAGTCAAATGTGGAAACAAGACAGTGATGGCAAAATCTTGTCAGGCTGTATTCCATCTGGCCCTTCTGGGCAGAGCCTGGCTTCTTCACAGAGCATTTATCAATCAGGGTCCCAGCAAAGCAGATGGCACTCTGCATAATTGAAGAGATTTTAATAAAGAGACTATTTACTAAAAGTTTGGCAAGAAAGAAAACCAACAAGGGGCTATGCAATATTCGAAGGCTAGCAACCATGGGGTGATGGCCCCCCCCAGGCCTGAGAATACCCCAAAAGGGGGGAAGAGAAACCTGGAGTACCAGATGAACAGGAGCTGTGGTCTTCAAATGGGCAAAAGCAACCCATCCAGGATGAGCAGGGAAGGAGGGCAAGAAAGGGACAAATAATCCTATTTTATGTTTTAGTCAGTCCTCCAATCACCAATTGGCTGAGTCAAATTAGACACAAGATAGCAAAACTCCTACTAATATAACTGTACAGGTGACCCTCAAGAACTCACATCAGGATGTGGAAAGGTAGAAAATGAATCAAACCAAACTTAGCCACTTCTGTGCCTGGCCTTAAATGAAGTTGTAGCAAAACTGCCTGTAACATATAAGACAACATCAAACAACACAGCTGGCTGGAGCAACAGATATATGTATAGAACAAATGGATGGAAAAATAGTAGAATGGGTAGAAGACAAATCTGATTACACCAAGCCAGTCCCAAATTAATTAGGTGGTAACAGGCAACCACTGTATAGATGTATAGATAAATCTATACATCTATAAATAGCAAATTTCAGGGTAATGGTAGCAGTGTAGCAGTCAGACTGAAAACAGTCACTAGTAGCAGAGTTCAGTTAGATTACTGCAGCAGGATAGGTATAAGGAATTAGAACGAAATGAACATTAGCATTAATTGACCCCCTAGTATGCCCTGGGTATCTCAAAATTCTTATCCACTCTATTTTCTACCTTTTAAATTGAGAAAACCAAGCCTCTGAAAAGTAAACGAAAGCCATACAGTCAGTGGCTAACTACCACAACAGTCACATCTACAAGTTAGTTATCTACAAACTAACAGCGCCTACCAAAATTATTTGTACACCTCTAAAATTTTAGTAAGACTGAACTCATCGGGCTTCTCTCACACTCAAGTGAGATTTGACATAAACATCCCTATCAACTTCATCTTGTACTCATCTACTGCAGACTCTCACAATTAAATTAAATAGACTTCAGCCTCGTCAAGGAATTCACTGAAGATAAGACTTTTCAGTGGGAAAAGTTCTAGTCAGCCTAGAGGTGAAGGGACTTCTGTGATAATGTGAACTAAGAAACATGTATTTGGTTGTCAGCCCGAGTTCCAAGTATCGAGCTCCTAAAACGCTTACAATTTGTTGAATGATGGGGAGAGAGGAGCAGCTTGCGTTCTTCACAATAAGCCCCTTTCAACCACACCAAAATGTGTGTTAATGAAATAAGTGCTGGCTGCCAGAGGAAACAAATGTGATTAGAGGGTTGGAACTTCCAGCCTCATTCCACATCCTCCAAGAGGAGATGGATGGGTAAGGGGTTGGGCATTACAGCCTATCACTAACAGTCAATGATTTAATCAAGTGTACTACGTAATGAGGTCTCCATAAAAACCCTAAAATGGTAAGAGATGGAATTTCCAGCTAGATGGATGCTTCCAGGTGCTGGAAAGATGGTGTACTGGGAGGGTGTAGAGCTTCATGTACTTGTCTGCATATTTTGTTCTATGCATTTCTTCCACTTGGACACTTCTGAGCTGCAGCCTTTAAAAAGCAATCAGTATTAAGAAGTTAAAGGCTTTTCCTGACCTTCATGAGACAGGCTAGCAAATTATCAAACTCAAGGAGTGGAGGTCACAGCAACACAATTTATGGGTAGTCCATAGCAAGCCCAAGCTGCATTCTAGACTTGTGATTGGCTTCTGATGTGGCGGGCAGTCTTGTGGGTGTAAGCCTTTAACGAATGAGCGCTGCAGCAACTCTGGATAGTTGCAGACCTGCTTAATGTGGAAGACCTACACATTTGGTGTCAGAAGTGAACTCAACTGATGGCTTGTTGGGGAAGCGGGTTGGCATAAAGAACTGATATGCAACCCAGGGGGAGAAGGGGTAAGAGAATTCACCAGAGACATAACAGGTAGATTGACTGAAATACACAGCTAAGGAGAGCAGCAGGCAAGACAGGAGAGGTCTGCTGTGTCATGTGTGGGTCAGCTCCCTGGCCGGGGATCAAACACAGGCTGTACTGGCGACAGTGCCAGGACTTCACCCCTGGGCCATTAAGACCCGGAAAGATTCAAAATTAATGAATAACAGCATATATAAAGAGTAGACATAAGCTAGCAGGAAAACTATGGGTTTAAAAGATCTTAATTTATCAGAAGGAGTCTATTTAAGCTTGTTCCTTCCTTGAAAAAAGCAAAAAACTCAAATTTCTGATAACAAAATGATTAGTTTTTAGTGAGATCCTCAATTCATTTCTCTTAATATTTCAATATAATATGACTTTAAATTTTTTTAATTAAACCACAAGGAAGTTTTTTTTATGAATGACTTCATAAAAAGAATCTGTTTCAAATGATAATGGCTCATGAAACAAGCAAAACATAGTTCTATTTTCTCATGTGACTGTAAGAATCATACCTTGAAAAGGTATCAAAACTGAGTACTAGTCTTTGAACAGTACTTTTTGAAAAGAAAAATTTCAGCGAATTACATCTTACAAAATATACATGTTAATTATACTTTCACAAAATTGCAAAAATTCTAAAGTCACTCCTTTTTTGCAAACTATCTTCTTGATGATATGAGATTCAAATTATATCTATTTTACACACACACACACAAAAATAAGACTTAAAGAAAAATGTGATTTAATTCATTTACAAGCCAAATATATGCCTACTATAGGGGAGTGACCAGTGGATGAAGGAATTTTATGATTTAGATCTGAAACAGTAAATACCATAAAGATTATTAATAAATGTTAACTGCTATTTTGAACAAAGTTCAAGCAGTATGTGTCTGTTTATCTCACTTTCAACAATTACCTTTAATTGTTTCTTCTACAACTTCTACCACACGATCTATCTGTTGAACCTAAAAAGAAAACAAACTGTTAAACAAGCAATTTACACATAGAAGAAAACACTAATTTGTGTGTATCCTTCTGCTTGAATCAGTGCTATACATTTCTAAGCACATGAATGCAGGTTTTAATGAATGCACTTGGAAATATTATTTTTAAATGTGTATTAATAATTCATATTACAATAAGGTATGTATGAAATGATCACCCTCCCATTCTCCAGTAATTATTACAGAAATCATACTGCATTTAAATAAATGAATCGCCTGGAATTCTGCTGTGATAGCCTATCAAAATGAATTCAACATGTTCTGAGCTAGAACTGGAATGTAATTAAAACATGTTCCTTCACAGCTTCAAGAAAAATGAATAAAAAATAAAAACTGAACCAAAAAGCCATGCTGGTATTCAGGAGATCTATCCTAAGTCCTATGCTTTATTATTTTAACATTAAAACATCTTTTAATGAATTTCTACCATGAGGTGGGTGCTATGATCAGGTTTATGGAATAAAAAGTCATATAATATCAGCTCCTGCCTTCACCACCAGTGACTAAGGAAGATTTCCCTGGGTGCACAGGAACACAGAAGGTAGGTTATAAAATCAGGCTGAGAGATCCAGGAACACTTTCTCAGGAACCAAAGGATAATCATGAGGGATAAAGAGGATTTAAGCCAGGAAGAAGTCCACTGAGGAGTGTGAGTGAGGAGTAGCAAGAATTTAGAAGAAAAATGAAAAAAGCAAAGATTGTAATCTAGGACGCAACAGAAAGTCAGTATTACTTCTACTTTAAAAATCTTCAAATAATCATTGTTATTACAGAAGAAAGATGTCCACTAAAAAAATTCAAACAAAATGGAAATACAAACGGGACATAAAGTAAGCCATAATATCCCATAACTTTCCACATCTACTCTTCAAATGAAATCTCTCATTAACAATTTGATGAGTAGACGTGGAGTTATTTTCTAGTAGTATATACCAAGGGGGAAGGGGGAGGGAAGTATCAAAGCAGAAGAGGGGAGACCACAAGGGGCTGTGGGATGGGTCACAGGTGCTGTGGTGGGAGGAGATTTAGGGAAACTACACCAGAGGGGAAAAATCAAACACAGTGCTAAACATTTGTACATCATTGCGTTCGGTAGTTTTTTCCTTTATTCCTTAAAATTATTAGAAAGGTAGATAAAATATCTTCACCTCTGGTTATTTTTCCTGCACATCATCACTGCATACAGGTCTACATCATTTACTTTACTAGCTCTAAACTTGTCTCATGTACTGATAGATCACAATACAGTCATCTAGTCCTCTATCTGGTGCCATGGTCATTTTATTTCATTATCATACAACAATCCTACCATGACCTCAACTGAGACACCGACATTTATAAAACACACTGACAAATCTCTTTAAAATATTCCTTTGGCTCAGTGAGAACACAGTCGTCCATCTGGACCTTTGATCACTCAGCCAGCATGATGGTAGTAAGAGCAGTAAGGGTTGAGAAATGACCAAAGGTAAAGTAAATCTCAAAGAATGTTGCAACTTTAGCCCCAAACCAGCCCATATAATTGGAGCTACATCCACACGGAACTGCTGCACTATTAGGCCCTGGTTTTCTTTAGAGTCCATGTGACTTCTGTCTCAAATGTGATCAAAGCCAGAAGCAAAGTTCAAAGAGGAGGAAATAGACAAAGGTGTCAACTACAGTAACAAGTAACACAAAGACTAAAATGGGTATGCCTGAGTCAACAATAAGGGGAGTCAACAAACCCAAGAGCAGCAGGGATTTCAAGAAGCAGTGAATCAAAAGAAAATGGAAAGTATTAGTAAGGCTATCTCACAAAAGTTGCATATAAGGGAAAAGAGAGGAACTCTTAGGGAATTAGAATGTGTGTTCTGGTGTAGGTTCGTATAATTCACTCTTAGTACATTTTTTCCTTCTTCCTTTTTGAGGTTTACATGTTGAGGATAAGAGGCAGTAGAGAAAAGGGAGTTGAAGACAGAAGAAATAATTGATGAAGTTAAGTCCCTCGGGAGATGAAGAGGCTAAGATTCAAAACACAGGGAGATACACAAGCCTAGAATGACAGAGGGACCACATGATCTTCTGAAACAAGGGATTAAGTAAAGAAAGTATGCGAACAGAGAGTGCAATGAGAAAGTTTCCTACCTGTTGGCCTCTTCTCATTGAAGAAAAAAGTAAATTCATAAATGAGAAAGCATATTATTAAATAAACAAAGTGAATATATTTCAAACACCTGTTAAACCAAGTGGTGACTAGAGGCATATACAATGCTGGGCAGTAATAAGATACCAGCTGAAACTAGAAACCATAAATTTTTAATAAAGACTCAATTTATAACTGTTCTCTCTCTCGAGGACCAGCAGCTCTTGTGTAGAAGACAAACAGATGAAGTGATTGATCCAGATTTTTCTTTCTGCCATTCACTTATTTATCACTTATTGAACATATTAGATATACAAGGCTGGTTGAAAGGGCTGAGGAAACAGCCCTGATTCACAGGATGAATTTTACGAATATGGAAGAAAGGAAATTGTGCACTTTGGATAAGATGATATTTTGATTATGGGTTAGACAGGAAAAGAAGTAAAGACAGAAAAGAGATGAAGTGCCTTGAAGTGCCTGGGTCTTAGACAAAGATGAAGACAGTACAGAGAACGAGAGAAGA